GGTTTTCATGCTTCTGCTTCGGTTCCAAAGAAAAACACTACAATTAATGCGGATTGCATAGTTGGCAGCGATGAAGAACTTGATTTCTGTGACCAGGACAGTGTGGCATCCAGTGTGGACAGCTCAGCAGAAGACATGTTTATTGACAATATGGATCCTATTCTAGACCGGTGGGTTTTTGTTTCCCCTTCAAATGTTTTAATATTGTATTTGTATGATTTAAGAATACGAAAAACCTGAAGGCATGCTTTGAAGATTATTTAAACTGTTTAAAAATTATTAAAACTTTATGTAAAAAAAAAAAAAAAATTTAATTATGGCCTAACCTGACTTTGGTTACCTGCTCATTTTAGTTGTGAAGTATTTGGCAAATTATCTGATGATTTCTTCTTGTGCCATGCAGTAGGCCTTCATCAGACCTTTACCTGCCAGAGGAGGACTACGATTCAAAAGACGCTCCACAACACAGAAAGAGACTTTGCCTGTCTTCTGCTGGAGGAGGCGACAGGAAAAGTGAAAATGGTTTCTATTGGACTGAAACAGAAAAGTGGCAAAGCTCAGATGAAGCAGACGTTGAGCCACCTCTGCTGGTCTTCACACCCAACCAAAATCCTGGCCCTCAGATTCTACCAAACAGGTGCTCCAGCGCTCTGCAGTTTTTTCAGCTCCTTTTCCCAAAGTCAATGTTTCAGACCATTGCAGGCTACACAAACAGCTATGCAGCCAAGTACGAAGAGAGAAAGGGCAAGTTGTGGAACTTCATTAGTCAAAGTGACATGAAGTCGTACGTAGCGCTGGTAATTTACATGGGCATGTTCAGGTGCTCTTCACTATCAGACTATTGGAGTGAGTCCCAGCACTTTAGTCTTTCCTTTCCTGCAAAAATCATGTCTTACAGGAAATTTCTGTCCATCTCCAAAGTTCTTCATCTGAGCGAAAGCAGAGAGGATGAGAAGAACATCTTAAAGAAGGGAACAGCAGGTTACGAACGTCTGGGTAAAATCCAGCCTCTGTACCAAGTCATTAGGGAGTCCTGCAAATCATACTTTCATCCCTTTCAGAACATCACCATTGTTGAACGAATGGTCAAACCACAGGCTGGAACTGGACTCAAACAAAGCCTGAAAAGCAGATCTCCAAATATGGGGTTCAAACTCTTTGCACTGACAGACTGCACCTGCGGCTATACGTGGGACTTCTTTATTTACGAGGGGAAGTCGTGTGCGTCACGGAGCGAGGGATTGAGCTATGAGTCTGTGATGGCGTTAGTGGATGAGAATATGTTGGGTTCTGGGTACAAATTGTTTGTAGACAAGTTTTACACCAGCCCCACACTCTTTACAGACCTTCTGGACAAAAAGGTCTTGGCTTGTGGCCCTGTTTGGCCAAACAGGACCGGTTACCCAAAATCAGCTAAGAACAAGCTGTTATCGAATGCTCCACGTGGCACCATGCGTTGGATTAGACAAGACAAGCTGCTGTTTGTTGAGTGGAAAGACTCCAAGGAGGTGCAGATGTGCTCTTCATTCCATAAAGCTTATGAAGGTGATACTGTGCAGAGGAAGGTGAGGCGGGATGCACATCGAACTCTTGAGGCGATCCCCGTTCCAGCTGTGGTGCTGGACTACAGCAAGTAAGTAATATCAGTGTTTCCTTTAGGATTTTTTCCAGCTGTGGTGGCAGGCCTTTTACACAGACCTTCCTTATTGTCTTATTGTTGATCAGACAGATGTTTTAGATTTTGACAAATGCTTTTGTTTTGTCTTCATGCAGGAACATGGAAGCAGTGGATTCATCTGATTGCGTCACTGAACATTTCAGAGCCATACACAAACCCAAAAAGTGGTATCAATGCATGTTTTATCACTTTCTGGACATCGCTGTAGAGAATGCCTTCATCATGCAGGAACTAGTGACCAAGGGAAACGGCAAGAAGCCTTTAACACGAAAAGCGTTCTTGCAAGCCCTCATTTTAGAGCTTACAGATATAGATAGTCTGGATTCTGCAGCAGTTCCCTTGAGTCTCTCTTCATCAGGATAATCCTCAACTACATTCCACAGGTCATGCTGACAGCGCTGCTGGGAGAAGGTGTTACCTCCAGTCATGTATGACATGATATGATGATGTTCTTTCAGCCTGAGATGGACCATTCTAATGACGGCTTAAAAAAGTCTTCTTGAAGCAAATGTAAAAGGTGTTTTTGCAATTATTTTTTGCCTTGATTTGAAATTAAATGTTTTGTTTGTTGTATTGAAAGGCTGAATAAATATGTGTTGAATGGCTTTGCTTGCCCTACGTTTTATGTTCATCTCCACATGTTTATTTGGAGTCATTTTAACATCCTTTTAAAAGCAAGTACTGGCCAAAGGAATGTTTCCCTCGGTTAAATCAGGATTTGTATTTGGCCAGGAGGTGATTTTGAGCTAACACTGGTTCAGGATGTTGACTATTATTTTATTTTTCAACAGACATTTTTAGTTCTAGCAAAAGTAATAAAAGATTTTACTGAAATTAAGAAATTCTGCCACACTGCAAGAACATTTATACAGAAATCTACTACTAATGAAAAAAGAAAAAATGTTTTAGTGTGCACACATTTTCAGCTAAATAAATTGCATTTAGTTTTAATTTTATGCAAATTAGCCCATGTTTAAGTCAGATTTTTTAAGAATGGAATTTTGCCCTTTTTGCTTACACATTAAATACAGATTGGTGACTAAAGCTACATTTATTGCACAATTTGAAAGTCTTAAATAGTCCCATAAAAATCTTACAGTTTGCCAGTTGAAGCCCATAAATAAAAATATGCTGCAGTACACTGGTACATGTCTAGTGAAATCTAAATTTGGGTTTATTACATTTTAAGTTTGTGCATTCGCTGATTGAAGCTGAGGTGAAAATGCCTATAAGAACAAAACAACACCTACAAGATATCTTCCTGTAAAAGTATTGTATATAGTTTTATGTCCTTGTGTAGACGTGCTATGAATGATGCTTTAAATAGAGCCGTAAATTGACTTTATTTATAATTAAGCTTGAATCAACATTTGGTGTGGCCATTTTTTTTAGCAGCTTTTGTCTTACACCTGCTCAAGATTTAATTTCTGGTAGGATTCTAGAAGATCATCGTGGTGATGGTGAGATTAAGTCTGGAGCACTGGCTGGTCAAAGACGTCTTGTGCAAACAAATGTTTTATATTCACTAATTGGGCAAATAATGTTAAAGTGTAAACTGTTGTTTTCTAATGACACTATACAAAAATAAATAAATAAAAATAATAAAGATAACTGACATAAAAACCACATGGAGGGCATTTCTGAATGTACTGCACTGTGAATTTCACAGAGGTCTCATTAAAAGGAATAATTTCCCCCAAAATTAACATTTACACACCCTTAAATGGCTTCAAACCTTTATGAGTTTCTTTCTTTTGTATAAATATATACTTCTTTAAAAATAATAAAGAGGACACTTGGTGTTACATTCTGTTGTTTAAATGTCCCTTTATTTTTTGAGCAGTGTATTTTGAAGAAAGCTGAAAACCTGTAACCACCGACATCCATAGTACCTGCTTTTCCTACAATGGGAGTCAGCAGTTGCAGGTTTACAGCTTTTTTTGTGTGTTTGACAGAAGAAAGTCAAACTGGTTTGGAACAATTGAAGGATGAGTACATTTTTAGGTGAACTATCCCTTTAAGAACAAAATCACGCAACAGTAACTTTCATAGCATGGCAGAACTGAAAAGGTTTATTACGAATATAACGTTATATCATGATATGCTGAAAGCATCCTACAAATTAAAATGTTGTTGATCCTTTTTCCTATTCGTCCATGTAAAGCAGAATCAACACAATATACATCAGACGTGCAACCCTGTTCCTGGAGATCGACCTTTCTGCAGATTTAAGTTGCAACTCATATCGAACACACCTGCCTGTAATTATCAAGTGCTGTTCATGTCCTAAATAATTGGTTCAGGTGTGTTTGATTAAGGTTGGAGCTAAACTTTCAGGAAGGTCGATCTCCAGGAACAGGTTGAGCACCACCCTGATGGTCTAGATTGGATATGCGGCTGGCCGGAAGTGCGATATGCACATTAATAAAACAGCATTTTTTTATGACACTGTAAAACAATAATATTTTTACAGTACTGTGAGGGTTGGGGTTAGGGTGGGGGTAGGCGTTAAAAAATACATTTTATTGGGTAATTTAATAGATAACATAACTAATACTCGGTACAACTACAGTTTTTACATTACTAAAATACAACAAATGAGAAATTTAATAAATAATAGAAATAATTCGCGTTAACTTCCGGCCGCAAACGTATCCGCTCTAGCAACAACCACCACTGATCTTAATCCTGATGCGCTGTATAAATGATTGACTTGACCCCCTGACCCCCACCCCATTTACCTCATCTCCTGTAACTCTGGCTTTGAGAGCAAACACTTGATTTTGTCTGAGTTGTTGAGCTTGAAGATTTGTGTCTAGTCTGAAACGGTTTATTATCTTACTTGTGCTGTTTTAGATAGCAGACTTTAAGATCAGGTTTATTTTACTGTAAACGCTTCTAATTGGTTTTAAGGCACTGACTGAAGCATGAGTTTAAAAACCAGTCGCCGAACTGTCAGGATGATTGCTGTCAGGTGATCATGCTACCCACTGCGCCACCGTGACACTCATAAATAAAACAATAAATATATAAACAGACTAATCCACAATCCTGCACAAATATATATATATATATTAATAAAGTAAATGCAGGATTATGTTATGAATAAATGTTTGAAAATAAATTCCCCCAACATTTGTGTAATTGATTTTTATTATTTATTAGCTCGCACTATTAATTAATTATGTATTTATTTATGCTGAAGTTTGTGGATTTTTATACATTTACTTATTTGCTTATTGAATTATTGTTTTACTTATGCAGGAATTTATGGATTCATTTACTCATTTATTTATTTATTTGCTTATTTATTTATTCATTGTTTTTGAAGGTTTCTTCCTCAATAGTGTTCAAGTGAGCACAAGCATGAAAATGTTCAGAACCTAAAATAGCAAGTGGTCCAAAATAAACTTTTGTGTGTCCATATATGTGAATTAAATATCTTAGTTGAGGCGTTTCTAAAGCTGATACAATCATTTTACAGATTACAAGTACTCATTTCTGACAGGCCCTTGAAAGGTTTTAGAGATTTTCAGGTCAATTTCATTTATTGTGCAACAGATTAAAGAAAACTTAGTGGTAAAGTGGACCTCAGCTGCCACAGGATGTAAGAGGTTGTTTGTTGTGTGAAAGCAGTGTTAATTTCAAGAAGCGTTTCTGAAGAGACTCAGACCTGCTCTGTGTTTCTCGAGAAATGCAAGGTCAAACCACAAATGTCCCTTTGTGACAGTCCAGAATGTGTGTACATCTGCATCCATCCGTCCATCCATTCATTCCTGTCTATCGTTATTGTCAATTGTCTAATATAATACTTTATAATAGTAAGAATAACAGTGGTGGTGGTAGTAATAATAAAGTTTTTATACAATTTTAAAATTGTTTAAATGAGACCCCATTATTATCAGACAGGACGACCATATTTGTAATCTTCTTATCTTTAAGGTAAGTTCTTTGCTTGTAAGAAACACAGGAAACCACAGCAGTGCTATTATATATGTGCATTGTGTGCAGTTTTTGCAGAGTTTTGCGGTTTTGACACCTAGACATGCCTCAAGCGAGAACATTCTTATGCACATGTGCATGTATGTCTGTTAATCATCCATTTGCATAAATATTGCAAAAAATGAAACAATAAATAAATCTCTTTTTAAAACCTGGTTGTGAATAATTAGACTAGATCATTTTCAGTCTTTATCAAAACTCTTTAGAAGAAACCCATCCCACCACCAGAGAGAGTCATCCAGTCAGATAAGAGCAGCTAACCACTCTGAAGACCCTCACATTCAGCAGTCACTGAGATGGAGAGATCAACAGTCGTCGTTCTTCTGTGTAAGTCCACTCATTAGTGTTGTAAATGTTGTGCTGTTTTCTTCATGACGTCAGTTCTTTCACCTGTTTGTTCTGCAGGTGTTTTGTTGTGTGAAGAGCAGAAAGTGTTTGGGACAGAAGTGAACATGAGAGTTAAACCAGGAGAAAGCGTCACTCTCTACTGTGACTGTGCTCTACCGTTTGGATCTCACATTGTCTGGATGAGAAACTGCTCGCATGAGAATCAGCCATCTCTGTTCATTGATCCTCCAAAACTCTTCCTGGAGACGTTTCCACGGTTCAGTTTTCTGCTCAACAGCTCCAGTAACTCCTATGATCTGCATATAGAGAATGTCAGTGTCTCTGATGAGGGACTTTACTACTGTGCGGAAAGGAAAAAGACATTTATAGATGAAGACGGCGTCAACTCAAAATATCTGTATGAATATGGGAACAAAACAACTCGACTAGCTGTCCTGGGTGAGGAGAAATTCCTGCTGTGGCTCATCTAAAGCTTTTATGCATGTTGGTAAATTCAGTGTGATTAAGAATTTCTCAGTGAGTCTGAAATCTAAATCTAATATAAATAATCATAAAGTAGGGGTAATTCAGCATTTCTAATTCTAATAATTCTGATCTGTTATCTCTCACTCTCTCTAAAATTCTTCAATCCTGTTTTGTCTATTAGTTCAAGATAGACATGCATAACAGAATCAGATAGTTTGATAAATGATGGTAACCTGAGTGGTTTCTGGTTTCCACTGACTGACTATGGAAATTAATGGGAGTCCTGAAATGTTTGTTTAAAATATTATTTTGTGTTCAACTCATGGTTTGAGCAAATGGAAAGTGAAAAATTAAAGACAAAATTTAGATTAATTCCTTCAACAACTGATTAATGCCATTAAAATAGAAAAGTTGTTCTTATATAATTTCTGTAAATAATATATAAGACGATGTCCTCTAAAGTTAAATGTTATGGACGCTTCAGAAAGTCTTCATTTGTTTATTCAGTCTTGTGTGTTTTATTTATCAGCAGTTTCTGCACATGAGTCCACCATCGCCTCCACTTCTCCTCCAGTGTCAGAGTGTGTGTTCTGCTGGACGCTGCTGGTGAGTGTGTGTCCGGTGTGTGTTCTCCTCTCCTCACTCCTGTCCTCCATCTGTGTTTACTGCTTCTGTCGTCCTCAAACTACAGGTAGAGCTCATCGACACATTTACATTCATTTTGAACAAATCTGTGAATCTGTAGAGCTTTTTTAAAGATTTGTTCTTTTAGCTTTTAACATTTTGACTCTAATCGTAATTATTAGACTTTTCCACATGAGAAAATACAGTAATTTATAGCAAAAACTGGAGTGTTTTTGACCCATTCTACAGTAAATTGTATTATACTGTACTGTATATTATAGTATTTACTAAACTGTTAATGAATGCAGCAGCAGAATATAGTATTAACTACTGAACTGATGAACTGAGACAAATACTGTAGCATACTTTGGTTTTTATTATAGTAAACTGTGGATTATAGTGGTATTTAGTACAGTATTGGTTTGTTTACATTACTATAGTTGCTGCATTACCACAGAAACTATAGAATTACCACAACAGATTAATTCAAGTCCTTTACTATAGTATAGTTCAAAAACACTACAGTATTTAATATAAATTACTACAGTATATTAATCAGGTTCATTTTGTGTGTGTTTTAGGTTTTGACATGAGTGCTGAGATTCTTAAAGCAAATGTTTTGATGGTAACTATTTTATACCCTTTTATTGACCATATCAAAGATGAATTGTGGACTGATGTGGTTTTTCACTAGTTTATATGATCCATTCTCTCCTTGTCAATCATTTCAGGCAGATTGTGTGGAGAAACATCAGTGTGAGGCGAGTAAGACTGGAAAGATCTGCGTCCACACTGAAGTCTCTTATAGATGACTGACATCTAAACATCCCTACACCAACATCTGACACATGAACTGCTCTTAGTCTACTTTCTGTCTTATTTCTGATATCATTAGTTTTATTTACAGCACATTATCTATTACAATCAACTGTCTTTAAATGAACATTATGATCCACTGACTCTTAAGGGTTATACATTTTATTTTTAGACAATATTAATGTTTTTAAGACTGTGTTCATTAAGAAAACAAACAAACAAAAAACACTTTATTAATAACAGCTCAGGCTGCAAATGTTTGTATCTGTAGATCCTCTGCATATCTCAAAAGAAAGTTGGATGTAAATTTTTAATCATGAATGATCACTTTTTTTTCAAATATTAAACAAATATTTAATAGTTAGTAGCGTTTATGAACATGAATAAAAATTGAAACGGGAGTCATGAACGAACAATGGCTCCATCTAGTGGCTAATAGCTGAAGGGACTTCAAAACCACTTATTCACAAATGAATTTATCAGGACCAGTTCATTGTAACCACAGGCCAATTAAAGTTACATACATGGCATGAGATGAAACAATGGTCAGTTTTCAGAAATAAGCAATTTAATGAAAACTTCAGTAGAGTTATATTTTTTTTGAGTGAAACTTTAATTATTCTTCTTAATATTTAAACCGTGTGCATTACCTTCATTACTAGATTGTGTTCAGGGATGTATCAACATTATTACACTTAATAAAATCAGTCCAGTTTATCTGATGATGATAGTTTTTATGATTCTGTGCTCTGTATTAGAAATAAAAAGTCTTACCGGTTCTTCACATTTTTATTCTTATTTTATTCAACAAAAACAAAACAACATCAACAATAAACTATAAATTTAATGTGTACAGATTTAAGTAAGATTGGATTAAAACTTTACTTCAATCATAAACTGGTGGGATTGCGCTCATAATAATAAATAATAAAAGTTACTGTAAACACAAACATGTTCAAGCTAAAAACTGGTACACAAAGTTCTGCTGTTCTTTGAGGTAAACGGCTTAAAACTATGACAAATCAAATGTATAGTGTGTAAAATATACAGATGAGCAGTACTAAATACAATATTAGCTTAATATTTCACCCAGGCTACTTGATCATAAATGATAAAAAAGAACAAGCATTAATGTTGTCAAGATTCTGCCCTAGAAATCCTGTTTCCATCTGTCCTATACAGTAGGAAAGTACAGTATGTGATTTTGAACTCAGCCATCATTACAGTAGACTGATGTAGAAATGTACTGTAGTCATTTAGTGCAGGAGTTATTCTGTTAAATGCCACAGGATGTGAGAAGCGCTTTTCATGTGTGACTGAAGTGCTAGTTATGGTGATGGAGAGAGTCCAGCCTGCCCTTTGTTTTTCTAGGGTACAACCCAAACCACAAATGTTTCCAGTGGCCTTTGTCACTATCCTCTTGTGAATGCTTACGTCTCTGTATTTATGAGTTTTGATCAAGTTAAAAATATATATTTGATATTTTCACTTTCGGATTATGAGTTTACAATTTAGTAAATTTCACATTTCATGTCAAATCCACACTGATCAAATACACACTGCAACTCTGATACACATTATTCATTTAACACTAAAGTGTCTGTAGATTATCACCAGGCCCACCATAAAGCACAAACACTTCATCAATCAATCAATCAATCAATCAATCAATCAATCAATCAATCAATCAATCAATCAATCAATCAATCAATCAATCACATATTAAACTGATATAATAAAACTGATCATGATTGCTCTTGTTTCACCCTGGGATTTTTAGACAAGCTAAAACAGGAAACCACAGCCTCGTGATTGTGTCAGTGCACTAGTTGTGACTTGGGCTTGTATAGAGTACACAAATGGAATGCAAAGCTTTGCGGTCACAGACAAAAGCAAAAATAAGTTTCTAGCAACTCTAAAGACCAAGAGCAAAAGAAACCTTGAGTAAAGACATTCATTCTGGAGGTTTAGAAGCCAAAGAAATCAATCAGCATGTAGATGAACGATGCCAAACAAGAAACTCATGAAGACGCTCAAAACTTCAGGTCATCTCCATCACAACATTAAACATCACATCGTCCAAAACAAAAGTCCCAACAATTTATGAAACTGAGTTCACTCTTGCATTTTATAATTAAACTTGAACATCTAAAAGAGCTTTAAAAGTGTGTTTAAAGGAGCAGACCAGATTATACCCCTAAAAACAAAACAACAGCATAAAGATTCAGAGCTCTTCCACAGAGATCCCTCCCACCACAATGAAGCGGACCCTTCACACTGCAGCTGAAGACTCTCACATTCACAGTCTCAGATGGAGCGAGCGAGATTTACAGTCATCATACTTCTGTGTGAGTCAATATTTCTGTGTTTGAATGTCATGATGTATTCTTGATGATGTGCTAGAGATTTAATACACACTCTTGCGTTTGTTCTGCAGGTGTTTTGTTGTGTGAAGAGCAGAAAGTGTTTGGGACAGAAGTGGACATGAGAGTTAAACCAGGAGAAAGCGTCACTCTCTACTGCGCTTTACCTTTTGGATCAGACATTATTTGGATGAGAAACTGCTCACATGAGAATCAGCCATCTCTGTCAATAGATCGCTCAACACTCTTCAAGGAGACGTTTCCACGCTTCACTTTTGTGCCCAACAGCTCCAGTAACTCCTATGATCTGCATATAGAGAATGTCAGTGTCTCTGATGAGGGACTTTACTACTGTGGGAAAAGAGAAACAAAAATATATAAAGATGAACGAGGAATCAAACCAAACATTGAGTATGAATATGGAAACAAGACGAGCAGACTGTCTGTCCTGGGTGAGAAACGACTGCTGTTTTCATTGCTTTGTTTTGTGTAGTCAGATCCTTTAAATGTGTTTCTAATACAGCCGATGAAGAGACATGCAAACATCTACAGTGTAAATTATAGTGTCATTTATTATAATAATAGTGTCATTTATAGTTTACCTCTTCATAATATAGCTGTGCTTTAATGATAAGTTTACATGTTCACCTAAAGCTTTATTATTTTAATATTAATTAAAGTTCTGCAAATAAATAAGTGACACAATCCTGCATAGCCCATAGTCCAACTTCAAATACAGAAATAATGTATATTTAATAAAGTATATTAGTAAAATAAGTGTTTATAATTAGTTTTTAAAGTGTATCTTAGTTTCTAATAATACTTTAAATTAAATTAACAGCAAATTCATTATATTTTGTAAAACGATGATTTATAGTGTATTTTACATTAGAATCTTTAACTATTGATTTTCCAACCACTTTTAGCAAATTCATCCGTGTTAAACTCATATTTTTCATTATTGTGTGTAATCAGTAAAGATAAAATAAAATGAATATAATAACTAAATATATATTCACTTTAATAATGGCCTGTTGTTCATTTTAGAGCAAGAGTCTCCTTGTGCTGAACGGTTTAACAGCACCTCCACATCACCTGCATCAGAGTGTGTTTTCTGCTGGAATCTGCTGTTCAGTGTGTGTTCGGTGTGTGTTCTCCTCTTCTCCATCTGCGTCTACTGCCTCTGTCAGAAGAAAACTACAGGTCATTGTTTACTCCTGAATACTTTTCATGTGGCTAAATTTTATTACGGCCTTAGACTGCCTGCCTTAGATTTCATAATTCAGCTTTTTTATTTGTATAGCGCTTTTACAATGTAGATTGTGTCAAAGCAGCTTCACATAAATGGTCATAATAACTGGAACAGTGTAGTTCAGGTTTTAGTCTTTAAGTTCAGTTCAGTTCAGTTTAGCTCAGTTCAGTATGATTTAATCATTACTGAAAGTTCAAACACTGAAGAGCCAATTCATCGATGCGTAGCTCTACCAATCCTGAGCCATGCGAGGCAGTGGCGACAGCGGAGAGGGAAAAAAAACTTCACCTGATGGGAGTGAAGAAAAAAAACCTTGAGAGAACCAAATGTAAATTATTCTTATGTTTTGATAATTTGCTGTAGGTTCTGGAGCTGAAAACAGACATGTTGAGGTATGAGCACATTTTGAGCATAATTTGTATATATATTTTATTCACACTTGATTGGCAGCAACATAAATTACATCAATATAATATAATATAATTTATTTATTTGTTTATTAATGTAATTAAATATATTCTGTTTCAGGCTGGTGATGAAGTGTGTTATGCTTCATTAGACATGCCTTCCACACAGCAACAAAGGCAGAGGAATGAAAGAGCTCAGAGTTCAGACTTCAGTATTTATTCTAATGTCAGAACCAGCAGAATGTAAAGTAGAGTAAACTAAAGTCATTGTTCTTTAGTAGAAATATGATTCAAAAGAGAGTTAATGGCAATGTTCTGGCATCTGCATCCTATTTTCATTGATTCTAATATTGTAAGTTTTTAATGATTAAAAATGTAAATACATTTAAGAAAGGTTAAATGTTTTTTCAGAATATTTGACTTGCAGTCTCAGAAAGGACTCAGTGTTGTTTCTGGGTCTCTCAGTTTAATATAATTTAAGCCAATCACATGAGTGCATATGCAGTAGTACTCCCAGCTAAAACTGAAGTTCTTAAACTCTTTTCATGTGATAAAACAAACATCTCCCCGCTACAGCAACATTAATCACAGCTAGTCTGCAAATGTACATCTAAATGAGCTCTGAACAATCCTGTATTAGCCCTATAATATTAAAAAAGTAGTTCAGATGTGTACACCATTTCAGAAGATTAACTGCTAATGTAGGCACTTTACCACAACAACTCCAACAACAATATATTATAACCCTATATATGATCATTTAACAACCTAAACAATATTTCATCACACCTTTACCCTCAGTCAGCAGAGATGCAATCTCCATTTTAACAGATGAAACCTCCATTGGTCCTCTTAAATGGATAGTTCACCCCAAAATAACAATTCTGTATCATTAACTCCCTTTCACTTGCTCCAAACCTGTTTGAGTTTCTTTATTCTGTTCAATACAAAAGAAGATATTTTGAAGAAAGCTGAAAAGCTGTACCCATTGACTTGTTTGTTTTTGCTACTATGAAAGTCAACGGTTACAGGTTTTCAGCTTCTTCAAAACATTTTATTTTGTGCAAAACAGAAAACAAGAAACTCTTAAAGATTTGAAACCGCTTGAGTTTGAGTAAACAGTGAGTAAATCTGGATTTCTGTGTGAACTCTCCCTTTATTTGAGCTCTCTCCAGTCACTCTAGGAAGACACTACACCTGGATTATTTGTCTAAATAATACGTTTATTATTAAAATCCCTATTAACATTAAAGTCATCTGAAGCGGTGGCTTAGTGCAGGTAAAGGGGCCCCGGCCCTGGGTGAGTCGGCCATTAGTTAATGCCCACTCCTCATTCTGCAGGTGATCAGGAAGCAGTTCTCTGCACTTCCTGTGTGACTCCTGCTCACCCTACACAAATCATTAAGATCATTAATCCAGACTGACCCTAACAACACAATCAAAGCCATGAGTGCGTCACTCAGATAAGTGTCAAGTCACTGGCCACCTGTTCACTGTAACCAGGGATGGCGCTCAATATCGTCCAAACTGGGCCGATCAGCCGCCGCTGGACTGAGACACCAGCCAATCAGCTGACGGCACTCTGATACACACAACACCGTGTTCAGAAACACAGAGCAACACACTTCTGCTGATCTCTCAGTGAGTCTCTTACCTGTTGACAGAGTTATGGGGAAGGTCAGTTTGCTCCTGGACGTGACCCTCAGTGAGCCTCCGAAGGGGAAACGGTTGCACAGGATGTTGAAGAGGGTCACTCCTACTGACCACACCGTAGCTGGACCCGCATGGTAGCGCTGTCTGCAGAACCACTCAGGTGGAGCGTATTGAATAGTTCCTGAGAGACACAAGGAGACACAAACACCCGTTCAAAACACTCCAGCACACACAAATTCCCTTTGGTGGATCATCAAAAGCTCACAAACATCCACAGAGTGTTTCCTTCTGCAACACAAACCCACCTGCGAAGTATTTGTAGGCCGAGCGCTTGAGCAGATCTCCACAGCCGAAGTCCAGCAGCTTGATGTCCTGGGACTCTGTGGAGATCAGCAGGTTCTCTGGCTTGACGTCCCGGTGCAGGACTCCGCGGCTCTCGCAGTGTTTCAGAGCCGTGATCAGCTGCACCAGCACTTTCTTGGCCAGACCCTCATCCAGACAGTCGTTCTCCTCACAGTAGCTCTGGAGGTCTTGGCAGGGATCCGGACGCTCCAGGATCAGGATGTAGCGTCTGGGACGGTCAAACCAGTCTAGCAGCTGCAGGACGTTGGGGCAGGCAGGAGCTGAATTGACGCGGGTCATCAGTGCCACCTCCAGCGGCAGCCGACCCTGACCTTCCTGCAGGACAAACGATTGGATTCAGAACCCAATGAAACATCAAACACAACAACAGGTTCACACTGAACTCACAACTCTCAGTCTCCTCTGTGTCCGCTCTTTAGACACATACTTGATGGCGACCTGTAGACAGATAAAGCATAATAAATCACACCTGCCTGATCCTCACACATCACATTTACTGAGATCAGGATTTCTAAAGGCTGTTTGAATGAAGAGCGGAGAAAACGACTTACTGGCAGTCCATCAGACCTGCGCATCCCAGCAAACACAGAGCCAAATCCACCGTCTCCCAGCAGTGGGCCCTTTGCATACGCGTCTGCAACACAGAGGAGCAGTAGAAATGTGTGTTCAAAGAAAACATGCAGCAGTAGAGAAAACTGTAAAAGAGCATTACTGAAACATCATCATCACTTCTTCAATAAGCCATTCTGACCTCTGCGAGAGCGTTTGAGAGCTCTTCTAGATGAGGTGGACGGACGTTCATCTTCTGGTGTTTGCTGGCTGCCGCTCTGCCGCTTCCTCTTCCTGTTACCCTGATCTGTGGACACAGATTTGGCCAACAGGGAAGGCAGAGGTGCGAGAAATCCATCAAGCTCTTGGCTCACGGTCTGGGTTTCACCGTCACCATCATGTGTCCTGACGTCCTGAACAGCTGCCTGGATGAAAGCAGAACTCCTGGATCTGGAGCGGCCTGAGACAACGACAACAACAACAACATATCACGTTTATCATAAGATTATAAGAATTAATCAACAATTAACTTTAGTAGCTGCATCTACAGAGAATAAAAGACATCTGATCACTTATATCGGGGAACAGTTGTGTTGAAATGGGTTCATTTGTACCAGTTTATTTACATCACATTTCCCCAAACATTACACAACATCATATCATGATTGATCATAAACAAATAAAAACTAAAACACTCACTGCGGTTTTCACCCATCTGATAAACTCCTCCAAACTCCAGCAAACCTGAAAACAAGAACAAAGATCAAATATCAATAAAAATGTCAATAAAACAATAAAAACAAGATCAAAATATCAAAATAAACACAACAAAAGAGCAACAAAACGTGTCAAAAGGAAATATTTCAGCTCTGAGCGTCGATCTCCTTGTAAAATAAAAGTCTTCTGTCAGAAATTCTCTGGTCTCCTTGAAGAATCGCAGTATCAGCACAGTAATCCTCAGCAAATGTCTCAGAAATTCGCCTCTCCTCAATCAACAGATAGCGGCGAGTCTCGGTGTTTATATATGGAGTCAAATCATAACACGCGTTGCTAAAGTAACCACTCTGAATCACTAGAGTAAACAACGATACATCTCAACTCAACATATAAATAATATAAAATATTTAATAATAATAATGATATTTATAATAAATATTAATTATTTAACAACAATAATAATAGTAAATTTAAATGAATTAATGTATTATTCACGAAACTGTAATTGGTGAGAAAGGTAAATGAGCAGTTTTAATTTGACAAGAACTGACTTGACAGCTGTTTAGGAATTAATTATATTAAAGTAAATAAAAAAATCTCTCAGATATTTTCTATTAGTGGCTCAAGCAATGCAAATGCAATTCTTAATTAAGTTAATTATTTGTACAGTGTTAACTGCTCAGATAGATATTAGGAATATAAGTGTAAGTTCAAAATGATTTATTATTGTAAATCATAAAAAGTAAATTATGGCTCGTTTGAGATGGCCAAAATCTGTGCAGAACTGATCACCGGTGATCACCGCAGGATGCATGCTGGATAGAAATGTGTGTGTTTTTTATTTTTTATTTATTTATTTATTTATTTTTTGTATTTTCTGAACATTTTCAAGTGCATAACAATTCTTACAATATTACACATTTTAGCATAACGTGTGACAAAATAACAAAAAGAAAAAAGATTAGCATTAGAAGAGGAGTTTAGCTGTTTTAAATATGTTCACAGTTCTGGTCGCTTTACGAGTTGAAAGGCCTTTAGGAGATCAGAACCGCAGAACCACACACGTTTCAGGCACACACGATTTAGGCAAACGATATATGGTATTTAACTAACTCCTTAGCATTATCGCCAACTATTGAATTTCACAAATATGGTTTCTTATTTCAGTCATTATTATTATATCGTAACGATAATTTTAACATCTCTGCAGTTTCTGAACTCAAATTATGTAAATAAAAATGATTGGCTAAAGACACTTATGACTTTATGTGTCCACATACACAAAGAACACATAATAGACCGTCTAATTTAAGTGTAATAAACTAATTCAGCATCTTAATATTATCATACTTGGTTAAAACCACTTTGTTATAAAATATAAAAAGCAAACAATAATGTGTCACATTAAAATAAATTACAATAGTTAATCATTTTAACAGTATATAATATAGACCTAGTTATAAACTGATTATCTTAACTGATTATCTGACTATCTTTTTTTATTAATTATTAATAGTTAATTTGTTTCTATTACTAAATTTTGGTTTTAAAACAATATATTGCTTACTATAAACAGTATTAAATGTGGGAAATCATTAATTAAAAAGTTATTAGAAAATTAAGCAAATACACACGATTTAATCGCTTGAGTAAAATATGAATATACTGTTATACATTTATTACATGTAAAAAGATTTTTATTACGGGCGAAGCAGTGGTGCAATAGGTAGTGCTGTCGCCTCACAGCAAGAAGGTCGCTGAGTCGCTGGTTCGAGCCTCAGCTCAGTTGGCGTATCTGTGTGAAGTTTGCATGTTCTCCTTGCGTTCGCGTGGGTTTCCTCCGGGCGTTCTGGTTTCCCCCACAGTCCAAAGACATGCGGTACAGGTGAATCGGGTAAGCTAAATTGTCTGTAGTGTATGAGTGTGTGTGTGGATGTTTCCCAGAGATAAGTTGCAGCTGGAAGGGCATCCGCTGCGTAAAACATGCTGGATAAGTTGGCGGTTCATTCCGCTGTGGTGACCCTGGATTAATAAAGGGACTAAGCCGAAAAGAAAATGAATGAATGATGTTTCATTGTTGAGTTAAACATTTTTTAAGGGTCTCTGA